CAGGAAAACTTGCTTGGGTTGCGGTTACAGACAGAAAAGAAGAGAGGCGGACAAGAGTTCCTTCCACGCGAACCTCTAGGCCAATCCGGTTGAAGGCTCTAAACACGCGAGCCCGTCGCGTCAACCGAAGAAAACAACTCGAAGCAGAGAGCTCTGGATACACTCACACGAAGTTTGCTAGGCTTCGTGGAACTTGCGCGCAGGGAAGGGGTTCGTCGAGGGATCGTTCGGTGATGGGGAGAGGCCAGAGGTTGATCAGACCCCTATAGCCTGCGCTGGGTTCGCTAGGCTCCGCAGCGCTTAGAGATCTTCACGAGATGTGAAGTTCTCCTCCTCCAGATGGTTGTGGAGTCCTCCCTTGCGGGGTTCTCCTCGGAGTTCTCCAACTTGGGCGGAAACCGCTCAAGCCTCTTATACGGCTAGCAAGCCAATCGCTAGCCACCACGTGGGAATAATTTAGAACTGGCCAATAGTGGGACACAAATTTGCATGCGGGTGGCGGGAACTCCTTTGCACCGGGGTTTTCTCTTTGCAACTGAGAAATGCACCTTGCAAAGAAAGCTCCTAGTGGCGGGAATTAATTTAGCAGTGCCGAAGCGCGCACAAACAAAATCACACCCTTGGGTTGTGACACCACCCTGCCCTGCCTTCCTTTGAATTTCAGACTAACATGGGTCAGTATAAACTATAATCTTTGAAACTGAATCTCTTTCCTAAAGTGCAGCGATTGGCGCACACACTTACTCTTTCTTTCTTAGGGAATAGATGAGTCGGGGTCTGACACATTCACAGTACTGTTTCCATCGGGGACCCCATTGCCAGCACGAAGGCAGCACACACTACAAGCCCCAGGAAGCAATTCCTCTGTATGCCTCGAACTGTACGAGTCTATAGGGAAATGCCTTGCAAAAGAGGAGGACAAATTTGCACAGGTGAGAGCATGTACAGTGAGTTCATTTCAAATTCTAGATGTGAATTATTTGGAAATTCGGTAAATGGACAGAATACCTTTTATTGTTTTGTGCGTTATATTAGGTTCTACAGAAATCTCTGAAAATTGCCTCTGAATAACTTCCCGTAAACATATCACTAAAGTTTGAAGAAGAAGAATCGTAAAAATGGAATAAACCTTTCAGCTAGCACCCTTCTCACCTTGAATCCCCAGATTTTATTTTGTATATATGTATGAATCCCCAAATTATTCATGTAGCTGGACTGGAAACAGTCCTGTCTAGGCTGGCAATTTAGTGCATTAAAAGTGAGAACTTCAGGTAGGAGTATTGATGCCAGTAGTGTACAGAATGCCACAGTGCCTTGTTAAAGTCCATGTAGTCTAGATAGGATCTTAATATGACAGACCACTGTAATATACATGGTACTCAGTCCATAAAGTCCATTTGATATTCACTGGTTAAGGAGGAGATGGAAGGCAACCTTCTATGAACAACGTTGATGTGCTTCAGAGGGAGATATGACCAGATCTTACGCAACCACAATGAGAATTGCTCCACGATGGAAAATGTGCCACCCCCAAAAAATAGCTCTTTCCAAAGGAACTTCTGCACACTACTGATAGTTTGTCCGTCTGAAGTTTCCATTCCCTTTTAGCAAGAGATAAAGGGTTGCAACAAGTTAGGCATGGAAAGGGAGTTTGGTCCCAAGGAAATAAACATGTTCAGCTCCCAGTGAGGTTAGCGGCAGCAGTTGTAGGTGCTCTGTTCATTTCCAGGATAGATGGACTTGCATTATCAACCTGTTTTACAGCCCTCCATATGTTTAAATTACCAGTAACAAATTCTGAAAAGAGGACCATTCAATTTACCTGCTGTATCTACAACTTCCAGATTATTTTTGCAAAATGGTATTCCTATGGGAAGAAGACTGAAATCCTGAAAATCAGTGGGCGTATTTAGACAAGACATTTTACTGTGAAGCTGCCTAATTCGCTCTGCAGTAAATGTCTCAGTGTTTTACATGTGTGGCCCTATTAGGCCACAGCAAATAGAAATACCATCCAGCTGCACTGTGGTTTTTTACTTCACAGCCACACAGCTAGCCCCACACTGAAGCATCCTCATGCCCCAGCCAGACCCTCCACAGCATGTTGAGCCAGGTCTGGGCATCCCTGGGCTGACAGGCTGACCCCTGGTACCCCCGGCCAGTGGAGGCTGCTCCAACCCAACTCGGTGTGCTGTGGTCCTGGGCGCATGTTTAAACAGCACATCCGGGAGAAATAAACTCCAGTGTTTATCACACCAAGTTTACTGCTGCACCTTAATTGCATGTGTAGACGTGCCCAGGGATTACTATTTTGGAGGGGTGACCTGGCAGAATTTCGGCCTTTTCTAACGAGCAGCAAAATAAGCAAAGACGCAGTTAAGAACGGAGAACTTCAGTGCAGACTTCTAGAACTCTAATGCTCATTCTGTTTTGTGTGCGCATAATGGCCACGTCCTGATGAGCACAGATGTATGGTATGTGGCACCACAGACCCATCTGGGCCACCACCACACTGCACACTCGGGCATTCCCTGCGCCACTACCTTGCAGTGCAGGGGGGGAGGAGGATTGACCTTTGGAGATCCCGGGGGCAAAAACACCTGTGCCTTAAAGAGGGGTGGCACATGTGGCAGTGCTCACTGCCCAAAACCAGAGCCTGGCCTGCCACTGGAGATATGCTCCAGCTGCCAGCCAGGCTCCCAGCTGCAGGAGTGCCATGCTGCAGCTCCCTGAGGTCTCCAGGACGCCAGGTAGGGCTGCTGGGGCCAGCACAGTTGCTGGCCCCAGCTTCCTCTACCCCACTCAGAGTAACCTACCGCACGCCAGAGGGTGCATGGCACGGGCATTCCCTGGGGACAAGGAGCAGCAGCACAAGGTGTGCCACTGCTTCTTGTCTCCAGGGAAGCAAACATTGGCCGTGTCCGCATGAGCGCAGATATGTTGTTTTGATTATTTCAATTTATGCTTCTTTCTAAACAGATCGTGCTTCAGGATTTAGATAAAAAGGAAGATGGGCTGCATGACATATTGACTGTTCTTACTATGAAAAGGTACCCAAAATATTTATCTCTTTCGATTTGCTGTCTTTGACTTGTTACACTTGAGATGCATCTTCTCTCTTCTTGTGAAAAGTCACTGAAAATGGATGTATATAACTTTCTGTAATAGAAGTAGCATTGTTTCATTATTGAAAGCGTTGCCTTACAGTGGGGATGACTTTCTGGGACTTGCAGGGGGAGGGGTTTTTCCCTGAATGTCAAGTTCCTTTATCACAAATACTAGTAAAATTCTGGCTAGAGAAGTTACAAGTCAGAGTCAAATAATTGTTTTTAATGCCAAGTCAGAAATATGGGTCGTAATTTCACTTACAGAGAGATCTTATCTTTTGCTTGCCAGTGGGATGCAGCAATTAAAGAATCGCAGTTTATGAATATTTTATTTGAAAAAGAAAGAGAAGCAGTTTTTTAAAAGCCATTGTTCACTCCTTGATCATGTTGTTCCATTTGTGATCCCGCCCTCTCGCCCCATCGCTCTCGCTCTCGCCCCATCGCTCTCGCTCTCGCTCCCGCCCTATCGCTCTATCTCTGTGAAGAGCTTTCAACAGATTACACCTTATGAGAGTCATTCCAGGGCAATGATAAACATCTCTGCTCTAAGTAATCAGCAGAAGTCCTGTTCTAAAGTATCCTCTGTTCTAGCTCTTGACAGCTAAAAGAATTTAAGTATGGTGAATCTGTGAAACTATAAGAAGCCGTTAACCCAGATACTAAAAAACCCATTCAAGACTACTTGACCAGCAGGTTTAAAATGCACAGATTAACAAATATTAAAGATCTTGAATTCAGACTAAATCCTACTGAATGTTACCAAAGCAACCTTTATGCCGCTTCCTTAGGAGTTACAGTGCAGTGAACAGTCTAGTGTTGGAGTACTTTAGTTTAGTTTAGCTGTTAACAAAAGATTTGATTAAATATTATGTCTCGGCAGTGCTTTTGAAGGCTTCTATCTTATGATGATGAAATTTGTCACCTGTCAGCAGCAGTGCTAGACTGGAAGGGTTGTTGCATCTGGATGTTTTATAGTTTCTTAATTCTCAGCTATCTTACTACTGCTGGTGTTTTCTTGGAGAAGATGAGATGAACTGAGAGTACTAGTAGCTTATTTCAGAGAGACCCTTTTTCTAGCCGTAACTTTATTCAGAGGCTGACTACTCAACTATTGGTGGCTGACACCTTTTATAATAATGCGTGCATTAATCTTTTTATGATAATATTGCTTCAGACTTCTATGGGAAATGCTTAGAGCATCTTTATTTTTTTGCCTCCTTTTTTTAATTGTCAGGATTTTAAGAGAAGTAGAAACAGAAGTAGCTGGAATATTTCGCAACTGGTTTCTATACAAAAGTTGTTCCTCTTTTTAAAATGGCTATTTTACTTAAAGAATCATCAAAGAAGATACTGTCTCTTGTATAACCCTTTTGGAGGATAAGACTTTCTGAATTTAAGGAATCATTGTCAACTTAGTGCAAATATTTTATAGATTGGAGGTTAGATTTATTAATCTCCCCTGTTCTAAAAGAGCAGTATCTTTGCATTCCTTTAATACAGGAGGAGGTAGTGGTCTCTTTGAAACTGTACACCTTTCTTTCTTACAAACTGATTAGAGTTTTAAAATATATATCTTTGGTGACTTCACCCCAAATGTCCATTTTTAAAAACTCTAAACTAAACACTTAAGCAAAAATCAAAAGAATTAAAAATGTTGATAGCTCAGACTTCTACTATGTTTTATTTTGAACTGTATTCCAGACCATATCTGGTCCATATCCATTCTATTACCATATCTACAGGTGACAAATAAGTATTCATGGGCAAAGACAGGAAAATTTGCAAGAGCGAATTTAACTTTTATTGATTTAAAGCAATTTTTCATCGATATTTAAGCATCCCCTCTTCCTTCACAAAAGTGTTTTTTAATTCTGGTTTTATTAGTAAAACTTTCACACAAGTCACTTTTTTTAAAGATTTTTTTTCAGTGTATTTTTCTTCTCCTTAGGGATGGGTCCTTGCACATTACATGCACAGATCAAGACACAGGGAAGTGTGAAGTCATCACTGTTGAAGTGGCATCCTAGTCCTATTTAAAAGGAGTTTCTTTGTCTTGTCTGGTTTTGGTTGGTTTGTCATTTTCCCCTCCCTCCCCAAAATTGTCTTTATTTTAAAGATTCTTTTTAATGAGCTGTCAGGCTGGAATAAATTGCAGTAAAACTTTTTACCACCAAATCTATTTTTTAAATAAAAATATTGTATAGAAGGTTACCCTAACTCTTCAGACAATGGAGAGTCAAATAGTTACTGATTGAATGCTCAAAAAAGGGATGGAGAAATCCCAGAGAGCAAACCATTAAATTTATTCAGTAATAAGGTTTATTACCTAGTAGGACCCAAAATTACAGAAAGAATCCCCCTCAAGTCAAGTGACCTGTTAAGGGTTCTAGTCCCCTGTGTGTCTAATTTAAAAAAATGTTACATCTGTTTGGAGCTGTAGTCAGCGCTGGTAGCCTTTAAACAACCAAAAACAAACCAGTTCTCTGTTGGGGTGGGTATTTACAATGTATATCGAACTGTATGGAGCATTAGTCTTAAAATGGCTACCTGTTGGAATTGGGGTTCTGATGCAGATCAAACGCATTTGGGTTATTATGTGAAACATGTCTGTTAAGCACTTGTGTGCTTCTTTACTTAAGTAATGGTAATAAACTATGTTTTCTTTTTCATATATACACTTTTTTTAATAAAAAATTCGTGTGTGTGTGTGTGTGTGCGTGCGCGTGCACCCAAAGCACAGGGTGGGGAATGGAGAAACCTGCCAGGGAGCCATTGCAGAGCAGCCACAGTTTAAAAAAAAAAACCAAAACCCAGCATCCAGAAAAGCAGCACAGCATACATGGCAGCAGCATGCACCACCAGAAACGGAACGTGGCTGCCCAGTCACGTGCTGGCTGCTGGCCAAGCTCCCTGTGGCCAAATCAGTGCCACTGCTGCCCAGGCAAGCCCCCAGGACTCCAGGTAATTCTGCTTAGGCTAGCACTGGTGCATGGGGTAGTAGTCAGCAAACTGGATGAGTCTCAATAATCTTTCTTTGACATCTCAGATCCAGGCTCCAGGCAAGCAGCAGGCCCCTGACAACAGGTCAGGCTGGCCTCTGTCCACTGCAGAAGGGAGTCACCAACCACCACCAACTATTGGCATCAATGGTCTCAGTCCTCCAAACCTTAGGGAGACCTGGCCTCACCTCATCCATTCTCCTGTGTTGGTGGGGCTCCATATCTGTTCTCCAGGCCAACTGCTGCAGGTGGAGGTGAAGACTTCCACTTGCTGCCAGAGGTCACAAGCTCAGCTTCCACCTCCCTGTGTGTCTCTGTCCTCTTCCTTCTCCAGCGCTACCTCTGGCAGTCCTTCCGCTACAGTCCTAGAGGCTTTCTCTAGTATCGGACTGACAAAGCCATGAGGACTTCAGAGCTTCACCACCTTTTCCTGTAACTCTCTTATCTGCTTCTGGCGGGACACCGCCAGGAGGCACCACTCACTTTGCAGGCACCCCGCCTCGCTGCCTGTCACTGGAAGGAAACTGCAAGCTGCGGTCCCTGCAGCACCAAACCAGGACCTGAGAGGAAGCCTCAACTGCGAGCAGTCCTGTCTAGAGAGGCATGTCACAGGTGCAAGCAGAGGAAGAGCTGGCAGTGACAGTGGCTCTGGCGTTGCAACATCCTCCAGCCATTTCTTTGGGTCTCCTAAATCCACCATCTACATCTTCCTGCCCCTCTCTCCAAACAGACCTTCCTTAGCACACTCCCCCATAAGCTGGCCTGTTTGCTGCTCTTTGGTCCTGGAAGGTTTCCTTTTTGCTGCTAACCTGCCTCCTCTCACCAAGCCTGCAGCGACAGACCGGGGGAGAGAGTCTCCAAGCAAACTCCCTAGCGAACTTCCTACTCGCTCTGCTCGCTAAACAGACCAGCGCCCTCTTGAGTCAGAATAACTAGGGATAGTGAGAGGGGCAGCAGCGTGGTGGGGGGTGAATAGCACTTCTCTAAGAGTCT